GTCTAATGTCTTTCCCATTCCCTCTATCCATCTGCCTCACCACTGCATCTCATTATTCAGCACTATTCCACTTTCATCTTCGATATTCTTATGTGTTGTAATTTTTTTTATCAGTGCCAGGTGCGTTCATTTCATTGATCAACGCGGTCAAATTGTTCTTCTTGTCTCAAAATTACCTACCTACCCACCATTACCAATACCATTATCACCGCTACCACTATCACCACTACAACAATTATATAATCTACAATTACCACTACCACTGCAATCGTTATAACACCAGCTTTACATTCATATTAAAAGCTCTTTACAGTAGCACCGTCACTGTACTGATAACTCTATAATCATAGTAACAAACCATATATTCGTAACTCCGGCGCTATATAGAGCATCACCCACCTGGGATACAAGTGCGGCAGATAGTATTGTTTATACAACCCAAGGTATGGGAAATATTTCGAGAGGGAGGCGCAGCCAGAGAGAATGCCAATGTTGTTTGTTTACAGAGGAAAGCCAGTCACTAGTACTGGTGCCCAGGTGGGTGCTAGTCACTAGTAGTAGTGCTCAAGGAAAGGGGTCACTAGTACTGGTGCTCAGAGAGGGTGTCACTAGTACTGGTGCTAAGGGGGCTGGGACCATCACTAGTATGGTTCCAGTCACTAGTACTGGTGCCCAGGCAGGTGCCAGTCAGTGGCACCTTTACTCACGTGTTTCTAAATTTAAGTCCCCTCAAGGAAGGTTCCTTGATGTTGGTGAGGGGCTCTTGATTTAGGGAATTGGATCTGTGCTCCAGTTCCCCGAATTAAGCCTGAATGCCTTCCACATCCCCCCCCAGGCGCTGTATAATCCTCCGGGTTTAGCGCTTCCCCCTTGATTATAATAATAATAATAACCTAAATTTAAGTGTGAATCTCCTCTTAAAAGTAGTGTTTTGGTATTGTTTTTCAGAACCTAATATGTCCCCTTTTATTTATGCTTATGATCCATTTATCCTTCTTGTGTGTTTTATCCGCTTATTCTCTTCGTGTCCCCTCTTAAGTGTTTTTTTTTTTATCCTCTTCATTGGTATCCCCTCTTAGTTTTCTGTGCGAAACTTCGTGAGAAGCCGTTCAAAAATGGGGATTAACCGATGTTAAATAAATGTAGGGTATGTGGGAACAGTGTGTACCTGGTCACAGCCCCCGCGGTAGGGTCCCAGACCAGGTCTCTTGGTTGCTGGCTTGATGGAGCAGGGTATTAGTGCCTGCAACCCAACGAATGCACCACAACCAGGCTGACCAGGAACCGATTTTTAGGAATTTGTCGAGGTGTATGCGAGTACTTGAGGTGTACGTTTACTGAAAGTGTGTCAGAATTTATCAGACAGTTTGCCAGCCGTATGGGCTGTCAACTATAACAGGGTTATTAAGGTCGTATTTCACCTAGCATTACAATCACGAAGATCTAGATTTCTATGATAGAAATTCATCGAAGCTCTCGGTACACATCCTTAAAAGTAACTAAGTTTATTTAGGTATAGGTGCACATAAGCACAATTATCATACATAGTAACATGTAAATTCCCTACGATAACCTCACAAAAAGTCAGTGACTTATTTCCATTGGGGTCCTAACGATGTACTATATACGCTGAGAAATACAGCTCGCAATGTAAATACACAGAAATACGTTTCGCGGTGTATACAGAAATAAAACTCGCGACCTTACATATCCAATTTGCCGTAATATCTATAAGAGACTTCAGGTAGTTTCAGTATCAATAAAAAAAAAAACACTCCACCAAGCCTACTGGATCATGTTAGGTAAATATTGTATATTAGCTGGTCTGGGACCGGGCAACCTAGGGGGGGGGGGGGTGAACACTGCATTAATAGCCTTCAGGTGACAGGGTCACACTCAGTTATTTCAATACCATCACTAGCGCTTGGTACTAGGAAAATAAGTTAGGATAACATTAGAGTTTGCTGATGTGTTACTAGGTTTGAAAGTAATATGTTGGAAATATTGGTTGCAATATTCGAGGTAGTTAGTACTCACACCCGAGGTAGGTTGTACTCACACCCGAGGTAGGTTGTACTCACACCCGAGGTAGGTTGTACTCACACCCGAGGTAGGTTGTACTCGCACTCGAGGTAGGTCTTACTCACACTCGAGGTAGGTCCTACTCTCACTCGAGGTAGGTCCTACTCTCACTCGAGGTAGGTCCTACTCACACTCGAGGTAGGTCCTACTCACACTCGAGGTAGGTCCTACTCACACTCGAGGTAGGCCCTACTCACACTCGAGGTAGGCCCTACTCTCACTCGAGGTAGGTCCTACTGACACTCGAGGTAGGCCCTACTCACACTCGAGGTAGGCCCTACTCACACTCGAGGTAGGTCCTACTCACACTCGAGGTAGGTCCTACTCACACTCGAGGTAGGTCCTACTCACACTCGAGGTAGGTCCTACTCACACTCGAGGTAGGTCCTACTCACACTCGAGGTAGGCCCTACTCACACTCGAGGTAGGCCCTACTCTCACTCGAGGTAGGCCCTACTCACACTCGAGGTAGGCCCTACTCACACTCGAGGTAGGCCCTACTCACACTCGAGGTAGGTCCTGCTCTCACTCGAGGTAGGTCCTACTCTCACTCGAGGTAGGTCCTACTCACACTCGAGGTAGGTCCTACTCACACTCGAGGTAGGTCTTACTCTCACTCGAGGTAGGTCCTACTCACACTCGAGGTAGGTCCTACTCACACTCGAGGTAGGTCCTACTCACACTCGAGGTAGGTCCTACTCTCACTCGAGGTAGGTCCTACTCTCACTCGAGGTAGGTCCTACTCGCACTCAACCATTACCGTCCATATATTTGTTTTCCAAATCATATTTTTACCACCAAAGCTTAAAGAAGGAAAATATGTTCATCTTGCCAGAAGTGCGCAGACATCAGATGCAAATCAACTTTGCCAACCACAGCACACCCTCCCATCCTTTAGAGTGCACGCAGTCTTCTTCCGAAATCCAAGACTCAGGCCAGACTAGCCAGTTTTTCTGGACACATTTTTTAAATGCTAGAAACATTGATAGAGATAAGAGGTTTAAAGGCACGTGAGCAAACATTAGGACATGTTAGAAAATGATCAAGGTCCCAGGACCGAAACTTTTTTCTAATAAGTATGTCCGAATGTTTGCTTACGTGCTTTTAAACTTCCTTTTTAAATGTTACTTTGCTCGCACTCCACGTCAAATACCTCCCCCCCCCTCAAAAAAAAGTATCTCCCTTCATTCTGGTCTAGCACTTTCACACATCTAATTGACTCGAGCGTTTAGCGCTGAAAACCTCCTTCACCCTATCCCTCCAACCCTCCCTAGAACATCCTTCACAAAACATTACCTTGCTCATACTCCAACAGCTCGTCAAGTTCCAAAAACCATTTCTCTCCACTCCCATCTAGCACGCTTACACATGCCTGCTGTATGTCCAAGCCCCTTGCACACAAAACCTCCTTCCATCCTGGTTTATATACCCTCTTGCTACGTTATATCTTTGATGACAAACCTGCCAGTTTGTTGCATTTTACAACCTTTCGCAGAAGCAATACTTACCTTAACCCTTTCAAAATGTGAATCTGCAATATTGATTTACTTGATCCCAATGTGTATGCCTTTTTCATTTGCATCCGTATATAATATCCTTGCTTATTCTATGTCTTCCAATGGAGCATAAGTTCATTGCTCTTGATCTGCGTAGGAAACAAAGCATTCAGTACCCTGTACTCGCCTAATGTGGTTCCAAAGGTCGTATCTCGGCTTCTTATGATCTAAACTCACACGCACTACCCCAGCTGGAATTTTAATTTACTTGAAGCGCTAAAGTCGTGTGGGTCATTCAGCGCAAGGAGTGTTCGAGGCTTGATCCTCCATCCGCCAGCCAGCCATGCAGGCTGAGGGGAGAATCTAACCCTGCTGGAGGAGCCGTCCTCTCACTACGCCTCATAAACGTGTTCTTTTTAACTTTTTCTCCCGAGACACTCCACTGTCTGACGTAGTCTACCCGTCTTTTGCAGTTTGTGATTAATACAAACAGGTTTATTAAACGTCCAGAATCTGTGTAAGAAAACGGTGTAAAATAAGGGGTGGTTGCCACACTTGAAGATAGCATTAAGTAGTAGGCCGAAATATAAGTTACTTTGCCTCGCTAACAGGAAACTAAGGATTAAATTTCCATTGCTCAGTGCAGTGAATGAAGAATGCAGGCTTACCGTTTCTTTAATAATAAACTGGTAAATGGTGCTTAAAGCCTATCGACAACACTAGGATCATTAAGGCTGCACATCTTTTCACTCCCAGACAAGCATAATCCTTAAAATAGGGATTAAAGTAAACTCTCAGCATAGATTCACTGAGAGAAATACACTTCTTGGTGTTTATATCCTGTAATAATTAGTAATAATGATAATATGTGGTAACACATTGATTTCTTCGACTAAAATGTAAACATCACTTAAAGCGGGGTCAGTCTCGAGATACTCTGAAAATGTAATCTTTCCGTACTACCGCCCACACCCATCACGCATTGAATCACTTCACCATAAAATTAACAAGTTAGCCCCCAGAAAAGTACTCCGAAGGAAAATGCAAATATATCTTTTGGTGTGTGTGTGTGCCTAGCGTTAGGAGAGAAGCAAATAATGAAACAACGTTTTAGGAATGCAGTCAGAAGCCGGGGTAAATCTATCACCCATTCTGATAACATGAAAGTGGATAAGTACGTTTGTGAACACGTATTGGGGACGTCATATAGGTACTCTGCTGCATGTGCTGGGACGACACAACAGGTAGCCTATTGCAAGTTTTGGGGGGAGGTCACAATAGGTAGCCTAGTGCACGTACTGGGGACGTCACAATAGATAGTATCGGGTTAGATCGGAGGTCATTTCCAACCCTCAGGAGAGAAAGAGAGGAGGGATGGAGGGAGGAAAGGGGGTACGGAGAGATATACAAATGTCAACCTACTTGTTGGCTAGAGGAATCTTTGACCAGTCGTAATCTTCCAGAATCTTGGCCACAGCATCACTGATCTCCCCGGAGAAGTTAGGCGCCCCAGAGAGCAGGACGGTCTCCACCACCCCTCGCTCATCAACACCTCTGCTGGAGATGGTGTTCCTACCCAGGTCTCCATTGACAGTGCTGGAGGCCGTGGTGGTGGAGATGACGCTGGCGAGGGTGGTGGTGGAGAGGGCACTGGTCGGTGGTGGTGGTGGAGGAGGAGGCACTCCCCCGTTGACGGACGCCAAGTACGACTTCACCGTCGTTTTGTGATCGTTTGTCTGTGTCTGTGATGGAGGGACGACCCCGCAGGGTCTGCTGTTGGCGTCGGGGGGACAGTAGGTGCCCCCTCCCTCGGGCAAGAGCGGTGACACACGCTCTTTTTTCACAGACTCCATTTTCTGGGCGCCCTCTGTGTCCGGTCCTCCGTCGAGGGAGAATAAGTCAATTGTTTCAAAGATTTGCGGAATTTTCTAGATGTCTCGAACGGTCACTTTGACGCTCCGAACGAGAAAGAAAAAAAAGCTACTTTGCCTGGGCCCAGAGGAGAGCCATGAACGATACCGTCTCCCACACAATGCTGCACTTATTCCCGTAGAAACAAAAAGTCTTAACCTGGAGGCAAGGAGCGCATCAGGTGCGCAGGAACAATGCGTCTCAGTAGAGGGGGTAGCGGGGTGTAGCACGTGCTGCTGGCAGGTTGTCACACACACTCACACACACGCACGCGGGGGCTCTCACAAGCTACTCTTCCCGGTCTCCACGCTCACTAAGCTCCCGTTGTCCCAACTCAAATAGATTAGTCTTACTTCACTGACTGCTGCTCCTACACAGATGCTCCTTGTCCGCAGCCTCAGATGCAGAATCCAGCCGCCTCGCCCCGCCCACGTAACCATCCGCAGCCAATCACCAGCCGCGCTGATAATCTCCCTTCCCCCAATTGGTCCGCCGGAGATTCCTAGTGGGCGGGGCCACGAATCCGGATTTGTTTACGCTTTTCACTTTCTTGAAAAACGACCACTTTCCAACCAATTAAAAAACACTGACAGTATTACGTATCATCACCCAACCTACACAATAAACTAAAACGCCAAAATAAATATCAAAAAGACAGTAAAATAGACAAAAATAATAAAATCTAGTACAATTTCCGAAGTGGCAAGGCCCATTAGCAAGTATTTTAGGGCTTTGTCTTATCCCCCCGAATTAAAGACGCGTGTCAACACCATCACTTATTTGTCGGTAAATGGCTCTCAGGTCGGTGCTGTACAATGGGTGATCAGACGATAACTGTGTCTTGATGGTGTCAGCACTCCAACTTACTAACAAACTTATGATGCTGGGGTCTTAGAAGTTTCATGTGGATACATAGACGTGCTCACGTTATTATTACTATTGTTCTCATTAATATTATTATTATTATTGTTCAAACTTCGGTAATGTGAAATAAAATTATAATTCTCTCGACTGGACGGTAGTGGCTAGTTTATTGTGCACTCCATATCCACCAGTGGACGGTAGTGGCTAGTTTATTGTGCACTTCATATCCATGCACTGGACGGTAGTGGCTAGTTTATTGTGCACCTCATATTCATCCAGTGGATGGTAGCTCAATAAGAAACGGATATAAAAAAAATCCACGAAATACGCTTCAAGCCTAATAGTACTAACTGGAGTGTGTACTCTCCAAGTTGTATTTGCGGGGTCGAGTCTTGGCTCCTGGCCTGACCTCTTAAGGCACAATCGCGGGCATTATTGCTTCCTGGCTTTATCATACCTGCTCTTGAAACTGGATATTGAGTTTGCTTTTACCACTTAATCATCTCGCTCACTCCATTTATTTGCCATCCTGAGACTGAAAAAGTATTTCCTAACATCCCTGTGGCTGTGTACTTAGTCTGCTCTGTTAAAGCCTCTGAGTATCTTGTATGTTGTAATCATGTCTCCACTAACCGTCCTAAAGCGGTAAGGCTCAGTTCATGCAATCTATCTTCATAACTCAATCTTCTCAGCTCTGGGACTAGTCTAGGTTGCAAGCCTTTGGACCTTTCCGAGTATTCGTATATGCTTGATCAGGTGAGGGCTCCATGCTGGTGCTGCATACTCCATGATGGGCCTAACATATGTCGTCTAGTCGTAAAAGATTGTTGATTTTTCTGAGGGCAATTCTATGATTGTTTATCCTGGCATATGTTACAGATGCTATTCGATTTATGAACACTTCTGGCGATATGCTGGGCGTGATGTTCACCCCAAATCCTTACTTTGCCTACAATACCTTCTATAGAATCCCTCGGTTTACATTACCTTCTACAGCATCCCTTAGTTTACATTACCTTTAACAGCATCCCTCAGTTTAGATTACCTTCTACAGCATCCCTCAGTTTGCATTACCTTCTACAGCATCCCTCGGTTTACATTACCTTATACAGCATCCCTCAGTTTGTTTACATTACCTTAGCATCAGTGGTCAAACAAGCTGAGTTTTTCTTCAAAAATATTGTTTCTGATTTTTTCCTGTAGACTAATATACTTAAATTAACGTAGTATGCATTTATTTTTAGCTTCGCACCAAAATTCGCCAAGCCTAAATTTAATTATTTAACATTATTGAGATATATCGTAATGTTCCTTTTTTTTCCGCTGTCATTGCTACTGTTATTTTTTTTAGTTAAGGCAAGTCAGGAACTATTGGCTGAAAAGCACGACCTGATCACATAAGGATGTGATTCAGTAATTAGCTTGTGTACGAATGGTATATAATACCGACAAGATGAGATTAAGACACATGTGCAACATCTGGGTATCTTTATTGTAGACGTTTCGCCATCCAGTGGCTTTATCAATACAAATTCTAGGACATAATTAGCTTACCAGGAAAACAGAGGGATGTTTTCTGGGGTCATACGAGATCCAAACATGGCGAATCTGGAGGAAAGTTAGCAAACTTAAGAGGCACGTAAGTTCCTCCGTCTTCTAATAACATGTTCATTTTTCCACTATAAACTACCTTGTCCATAATTATTATCGCATTTGTTTTGTCTGTTTCGTAAGGAGAAGTCCAGGATCTTTCCTTAATTCATGGTATAACTTAACAAATCTTTGAGGGCAATTGTGTTCGCTCAGACATCTACAACACACACACACACACACACACACACACACACACACACACACACACACACACACACACACACACACACACACACATATATATATATAAAATCGTGTGTATATGTATGTGTGTGCGCGCGCACGCGCGCAGTACTCGCGTACAGGTGATAAAAGATGCAAAACAACCACAGGGGGAGTTGAATATACACTTTGTTTTACTTTGAATCCCCTGGAGTTAAGCATCACTGACAGGTGGTGGACGGGTGACATGCAGCTTTTGTAACCCTCATGTAGTTGACAGGATTCGATCTAATAAATCATTCAACCTGTTTGCTGTACGCTATTCAACATCCATCTTTTCTGCTGGATGTGATTCAACATTCAGGCCAAATCCAAAACAGTTTTCTCACATTATCTGGAAAGGGACACAATTTTCGATATCCAGAAAGTGCAGCAATAGTTTATAACGAGCAGCATTAAATAATCATTTGTTATTGTGGGTTATTAGTGACGTTGTTGTGACGGCACTTGACGAAAACCTTATTGCAGTCGTAGTGAAAATATTATCACAGCTATAGACGTGAAAAGATTCGTTACCCTCCTCTTAGGTCTTTGAGATTCGACGCTTCTTCGTGGAGCAGCGATCACCACACAGATAGAGACATCAGCGGGGAGATGTTCTGTACATCCTCTGTTTCTCTCGGTCTTCAGCGTCTTTCATTTCTCGTTTGTAGTCCATCATTTTGTTTTACTCATTAGAATCTTTCCTGCCACACACCATCAATATCTCTTATTCTTCTGTTGTATAGCATTAGTGTATCTCATCTGTTGCACACTGTTAGCATCTCTTGTTACATGCTATTAACATTTCTCCATGACCCGTGCAATCTAACTCAGCATGGATTTAGAGCAGGAAGAGCATCTTACAATTACCAGATCACTGTGACAGGATTATGGAGGCTTTACAAGAATCCCAAAATGCGTTCAAGTGTTATTCTGGAATGATAACCCATTGGCGTGAAGCTCAGCTCTGTAGAACACACCGACAAAAACTGTAAGAGGATATAACATAATTTTCAAGTGGGCGCTAGAAAAAACATGATGTTTAATGGAAACAAATTTAAATTTCTCACATGTGGAAAGAACTCCAATGGGGCAGTATAGAGAACGAAAGGAACATGTAAAATATTGGGTATAATGTGAACTGACCTGTCATTAGAGAACATAATAAATCAAATGATATGAAAGGAAAAAAGTGACAGGGTTGATAATGAGAACTTTCTAAACAAGAGAAATAATGTCAGTGGTGACATTATTAAAATCACTTGTGCTCCGTCACTTAAGAGTATTACTCGGTGATGATAATTTTGCTCAAGGTTTTGCTCAAGGCCTACACATAGCCAGTAAAACATTTAAACTATTGGGAACACGTCCAAGAACTGGAAAAGTGCTGTCTGAAGAAAAGGAAATAGAAATACGCGATATTATATTCTTGGACGGTACCAGAGGGCCTATTCTCGAATCTTCACACTGCCATAGCATACTGGAGAGAGAGAGAGAGAGAGAGAGAGAGAGAGAGAGAGAGAGAGAGAGAGAGAGAGAGAAATGTAAAATAGACCCAGTGAAGAGCAGGGACGCCCTGGGCACAACATCAGAGTACTATATCAGTATTCTTGGGCCAAGACTACTCTTATTTATCCTGCTACCAGCATATATTGGAAATGTTGCTGGAACCAGCTTAGACGTCTGTATGGGGAAACTGGATCACTACCTCAGCTGTGGGCCAGATCAACAAGTCAGTGATGGATTTGTGGGTCGACGAACCGCGAGCAGCTCTGTCAGTCTGTATGGCTTGACAGAGCTGCTGGAGAGCGAAACGTTGCCACAATAAAATGTCACATTAGTTGCACTTGCGTCCTTTTACGTAACATATTGTCGGTAATTCTACCAACTTGAATACAACAATAGCCTAGTAAATCAGGCAATCAACAGGGAACCTTCGGTTGAGTCAAGCAAACTAGAGCTAAAAGTATGAAGCTGACCAGAAGAGGCATTCTCCAGTTATCGTCTGGATTCCATTTTTTAACTGTTAGTATATTGTAAATGGTTTACGTACAGAACCTGAGTTTAACTTGTTCCATCTTTCTCATAAGTTGCCTCAGCTATTGAGTGAACCATTCAAATGAGACAGTCACAATATTATAATACCAAAATACCACATCATTTTAAAAATGACAGTTCTGATAGGGAAAAATAACACTCTTGAATAGCAATGCTAACCTTTCAAGTAGGAGAAAACAGTGTTGAAAGATTGAGACCGTGGACGGTAGAGTTTATCGTGCACCTCGTACCCATCCCGTGGACGGTAGCGCAAGAACATGCGGATTCACAAAGATCTACAACTTACTTGAACAGAGTGGCTACTGGAGTTCAGTTTAACTGCGCAAGATCACGATAGTCGGCGAGTGAGAGAACCCAGAGGCATGATGCACAGACTGGAAGGTAAAAATAATAAAAAAACGTTAAACAAGGAACAAATATCACCTGGAACACCCACCCACACCCACTCATGTATTTATCTAACCTATTTTTAAAGCGACACAACGTTTTAGCCTCTATAACTGTACTCGGGAGTTTGTTCCACTCATCCACAACTCTATTACCAAACCATTGCTTTCCTATACCCTTCCTGAATCTGAATTTTTC